GGATCGGGGAGGGGGAGTGGCGGTCTTATGTCAGTTTCTGATTGCAATACATAAAACACATATCGCAGAGGGTCTGCTTATCACTGAACCATTAATCTGTTGGTCTGCTTTTTGTTTTTTCTCTAGATTGCACTAATTTCCAAAGGTGAAGCGGCACATGTGGAGGTAATGCTGGCGAACGAACAAAGCAACAAACCAGGGGTTTTACAAAGAAAATGAAAGACAGACTGTTTCGTTCAGTGGCGAAGACCTTTGCTTTTTCAGCAGCAAAGGATGCGACGTTGCACCCATCGGAGGACAATTTTTTCTCGGCGCTGCAAACAACTTCCAAATTAATGGGAGAACATGCCTAGGAAGGACTAAGGTTTGCACGTGGCAGCGGACGGAATTCGAGCTGTGATCGGGGAATGCAATCGGATTATGACAACGATCCGAGGGGAGATATCATGGCAATTTAAGCATTGGTTTTGGGTCGAAAAAGGTCTGCCGCTGGTCCGGTCAGCTCAAACGGATCACCAGCTTCCGACTCGCAACAGGATGCGGGCTAAGATGAAGGGGGACACAACATGGAGAAGGAGCGGCAATGATCCGTGGGGCGCTCCTCCTTTCAAGACAGCTCTGACAAAAAGTTTTTCAAACGAGAAGAGATGCGATCAACCTTGGCGTAACGTTGCAGCAACTTGCATTTGCGGAGCTGGTGCTGAAAAGTGAAGTCGAGCAGACGGCAAAGACCAGTAAAGCAGCGGACCAAATACAGAAAATTGCAGTTATCAAGAAAGAGATCGTTGCATCGGTCCGCTCCCGAGACACGGTCTTAAGCTTTTCTATCTTCAAGCTCGACCGTGTTGTTTCTGATGCAGACAAGGCCGTCGCATTGTACAGAGCTGGGTTGCCTGCTGTGCAGAGAGGAGATGCGAATAACATGACAACAACAGATGATGATTTTGACCTTGAGTTCATTGCGCACACCGTGAACAAATGTGCGGGCAGAGAAAGAGACGAAAAACGTTTGTGCGCAAGGCTGTGAAAAGGATAAGAAGGGGTCCGGAAGTGGATCGAGGGGGGTTGGGGATGGAACAAGGCCAGGGTGGGGAGGGAGGTGGGCGACGGTGTTGAAGGGGACATGAGTTGCACCTCCACTGACGCTCAGTGGTATGACACACAGCCAATGAGGACCAAAGCGTAGAGAGAGAGAGAGAGAGAGAGAGAGAGAGAGAGAGAGAGAGAGAGAGAGAGAGAGAG